TTTTGGTAAGAAGATGTTAACGTAAGTTGTTCGTCTTGATGAGGGCTACAACTTTGCTTAATATTCTTCTAACAAATTATGCGTATTTAAGGAGATAGGGCTGCGCATGCGCAGAACGTATCTCCTTAACTTTGCACTTTTTGGTAAGAAGATGTTAACGAAAGTTGTTCGTCGTGATGAGGGCTACAACTTTGCTTAATATCCTTTTAACAAATTATGCGTATTTAAGGAGATAGGGCTGCGCATGCGTAGAACGTATCACCTTACCTTTGCACTTTTTGGTAAGAAGATGTTAACGAAAGTTGTTCGTCTTGATGAGGGCTACCACTTTCCTTAATATCCTTTTAACAAATTATGCGTATTTAAGGAGATAGGGATGCGCATGCGCAGAACGTATCTCCTTACCTTTGCACTTTTTGGTAAGAAGATGTTAATAAAAGTTGTTCGTGTTGATGAGGGCTACAACTTTGCTGAATATCCTTTCAACAAATTATGCGTATTTAAGGAGATAGCGCAGCGCATGCGCAGAACGTATCTCCTTACCTTTGCACTTTTTGGTAAGAAGATGTTAATAAAAGTTGTTCGTCTTTATGAGGGCTACAACTTTGCTTAATATCCTTTTAACAAATTATGCGTATTTAAGGAGATAGGGCTGCGCATGCGCAGAACGTATCTCCTTACCTTTGCACTTTTTGGCAAGAAGATGTTAACGAAAGTTGTTCGCCTTGATGAGGGCTACAACTTTGCTTAATATCCTTTTAACAAATTATGCGTATTTAAGAAGATAGGGATGCGCATGCGCAGAACGTAACTCCTTACGCTTGCATTTTTTGGTAAGACCATTTTAACAAAAGTTGTTGGTCTCGATGAGGGCTACAACTTTGCATAATATCCTTTTAACAAATTATGCGTATTTAAGAAGATAGGGCTGCGCATGCGCAGAATGTAACTCCTTACCCTTGCTTTTTTGGTAAGACGATGTTAACAAAAGTTGTTCGCCTTGACGAGGGCTACCACTTTGCTTGATATCCTTTTAACAAATTATGCGTATTTAAGAAGATAGGGCTGCGCATGCGCAGAACGTAACTCCTTACGCTTTCATTTTTTGGTAAGACGATGTTAACAAAAGTTGTTCGTCTTGATGAGGGCTACAACTTTGCTTAATATCCTTTTAACAAATTATGCGTATTTAAGAAGATAGGGCTGCGCATGCGCAGAACGTAACTCCTTACGCTTGCATTTTTTGGCAAGACGATGTTAAGAAAAGTTGTTCGTCTTGATGAGGGCTACAACTTTGCTTAATATCCTTTTAACAAATTACGCGTATTTAAGAAGATAGCGCTGCGCATGCGCAGACGGTAACTCCTTACGCTTTTGCTTTTTTTGGTAAGACGATGTTAACAAAAGTTGTTCGCCTTGATGAGGGCTACAGCTTTGATTAATATCTTTTTAACAAATTATGCGTATTTAAGAAGATAGGACTGCGCATGCGCAGAACGTAACTCCTTACCCTTGCATTTTTTGGTAAGACGATGTTAACAAAAGTTGTTGGCCTTGACGAGGGCTACCACTTTGCTTGATATTCTTTTAACAAATTATGCGTATTTAAGAAGATAGGGCTGCGCATGCGCAGAACGTAACTCCTTACGCTTTAATTTTTTGGTAAGATGATGTTAAGAAAAGATGTTCGTATCGATGAGGGCTACAACTTTGCTTAATATCCTTTTAACAAATTAAGCGTATTTAAGAAGATAGGGCTGCGCAGGCGCAGAACATAACTC